AGCTAGCCATTAAAAGCAAGGGGAAAAAACAATTATTATTTTTATACCAAATAACTATGGATTCAAAAGCACTATTTTGACTTTTAAGAAACCATTTTATAAGTTAGAGATCCAAATAAGGGTAAGAAGTCACTATATTGTTTAATCAATAACCTCAGTTCAAAATGTTTGCCTGTCTACAGAGACATATTCGTAAAATTATATTTTTTCATCTCAATAAGCTTATTTTTAAAATCTATTATAACTAATATTTAATTGGCTATCTTGAACTGACATCTTACCAAAGCACAGTAAATTGTTAGATAATGTTGATGTTCCTAGCAAAAAAATCTGGCTTTTTAGTATATAGAATATTCAGGTCATTCTATAGTTTACTGGAGATAAAGTATACAGATAGTGTGGAATTTTTCAGACAGTTTTCATTTATTATTAATATTTTATATTATGTTGCATAATTGAACCAGACCGTTACTTGTAACAAAATTCTTTTCATAAAATAACTGGATTTCTAGTGATTAACTACACACACACACACACACACACACACACAAATGAATGGGTCTCAGTATTATTGGGACAGTAGGGTAGCAACCATAGATCATGTATAGCAGGGGTGGGTTCTGGCAGGCGCTACTGCTGGTTCCCTCATGTGCATGCTGTGCGCACAGTGCAATTAAAATTGTTCTGTATATGTACAGAACTGAAAAGCCTATGACGCTGCCCAAAGAACCAGTTCAGGGGCGTAGCAAGCCTGGGTCGCTGCTGATTCCAGTAGCCCAAGCCGCCACTACCGTTAGGCCAAACCTGTAGCAACCCACCACTGATGTACAGTAGATGTCCAGAACATGATTCTGCCCTGATTAGACAACAAATATTACACAGAGTATAAGCATTCGTAGAACATATAAACTGGCACACTTCTCTCCAGGGGTGGGCTTCAAAATTTTTAGTAAGTTCTCTGCCTGGTTGCTGGGTTGGCATGGCCATGGTGGTCGTGGTCTAGTTGTCTCCAGCACCACAGCTGGGGCAGGCGTTTTTGCCCTCCCCCAGGCTCTGGAGGCTTTTCTTGAGTCTCTGGGAAGGCGAAAATGGCCTTCCCAGGCTCTGGAGGCCTATTTTTCACCCTCCTTGAGCCTCCATGTGTGCTCTGCACTTACCTGCATCCAAAACAGGCACCATGGGGACTCCTGGGGTAGGGTGAGGCCAGCCAGGAGTGGGATTTGGAGGTTCTCCGAGCTGCATGGGGAATTCATACATACTTCCCATTTCTATAACAACCTAAAGGGATATTTAATGAATTTGTCAATTGGGAAAAAGAGTAAACTCTTCTCTATTATTCTTTGTAATAATAAATCTGTGTTGCAAGATTCATTTGCAACATTTGCCAGAAGAAGAATCATGTTCCAGTTTGATTACTACACATATTAATTATACTATTTTAACCCCCAAGGTGTAAAGCTGTGATGGCGAATCTATAGCACGCGTGCCAGTGATGGCACTCAGAGTTCTCTCTGTGGGCACGCTTACCATTGCCAGCTGTTATTTTGGTTTCCGGGACATGCATGTGTCCCAGCCAACTGGTTTTCGAGCACGCCCGAACACCAGTGCATGGAAACCCGAAGACCAGCTGGTCTTCGAGTTTCTGTTGCTGTGGCATGTGCATACATTCTGGTTTCGGCCCAGTGCCGAAAAGGTTTGCCACCACCGGGCAGTTCAAATCATTTGCAAGATCAAACTTCTGTAACTACTCCTGAGTACCACTAAGTATCTTGTTTGCTAACATACAGTGGTACACAAACCTCTCAGGAGCTAGAAGTAGTTTAAGTATTAAACCACTGTTTGTCACCTCATTTTAAAATTACAGTCTTCCATATTATTTTACTCACAATGCATAACATGTTATTTATGGAAGAGTACTTGTTGAAGTTAAAGCCTATTTTTCAATATTTATGGGTAAACTTCTGTATATAATTATACTGTATATGTATATATATGTATATATAT